CGGGAGCGGATCCCATGGCTAGTAAGTCCTAAAGTGACAATGATTGACAGTCAAAGATGCAACCCCCTGAAAGTAATCAGAGATTACAATATCCCCCTACAGGCTTATTGAAGTTTGCCAATTACAAAAACATGGATGGTGCCAAGTTCCAGTCCATCTCTCTGGGGCAGGGCCAGGGACCCATTGCTGCCAAAATGATATCCACCGCCATGCAGGACGGGACGTGGGTGTGTTTGCAGAACTGTCACCTGGCTGTTTCCTGGATGTCCACCCTGGAGAAAATCTGTGAGGATTTCAGTCCAGCAACATGCCACCCTGACTTTCGACTTTGGCTCACAAGCTACCCTTCAGCCAAAGTAAAGTTGAATGCATATTATTACTTTACCAACTTTAAACAATAATAAGGAGCTTTGATATGATTATAATCTTTCCCAACATCAGTTTCCAGTGACCATCCTGCAGAATGGGGTGAAAATGACTAATGAACCTCCTACTGGACTCCGCCTCAATCTCTTGCAGTCTTACTTGTCAGATCCTATTTCTGACCAAAACTTCTTCAATAACTGCCCCGAAAAAGAGCTGGTGAGTTGACGGGAAGCTCAATTACACGTTGTGTGCATTAGAAATTGCATTTGATGATCAAGTTGGTCTTTTGTATTAAGTCATTGTGTTTCATTTTTTCTGTATTCTCCTCATCTCATTAGATTTGGGAGAAGCTACTGTATGGCCTGTGCTTCTTCCATGCTCTTGTTCAGGAAAGAAAGAAGTTTGGTCCACTGGGCTGGAATATTCCCTATGGTTTTAATGAATCTGACCTACGTATAAGCATCCGACAGCTACAGGTATTCATTCATTCATTCTCTGAGACCAAGTTGTTACAATCCCAGGAATCTAAACTGCATTGTGTATTTTTCCCTCTTTAGCTATTTGTGAATGAATATGATGAGGTTCCCTTTGAGGCTATATCTTACCTGACTGGAGAGTGTAACTATGGCGGCCGCGTGACAGACGACTGGGACAGGCGGCTCCTGTTGACCATTTTAGCAGATTTCTACAACAAGGACATCATTAAGACACCTCGCTACCCCTTCTCACCTAGCGGTGAATACCACGCCCCGCCCAAATCCAACTATGAGGACTACATTGAATTCATCAAGGTAAAGCCACCTGAGATATCAAAAATAAACAGCAAAATACATTTTGTTTATCTTTTTATGTAACATAGTGACTTACAAACTGAGAAGTATTAACTTTATTTTGTTGCAGGAACTTCCATTCAGCCAGCATCCAGAGGTTTTTGGGATGCATGAAAATGTAGACATTTCTAAAGATCTGCAGCAGACAAAGCTGTTGTTTGATTCCCTGCTGCTTACCCAGGGTGGAGGAGCTAAGGGAGGTGGTAGCTCTGGGAGCGACAACACACTGTACGACATAGCAAATGACATACTTACCAAGGTAAAAGCTTTCCACATCCCTTTTACATTCAGTCATTTTTAGCTGTGTGGTAGTGAGGTTTGGGGAAGGCAATGACGGTTAGTTCACTATGGTCAAGACAGAAATAGCCCAACAAGTAACAGAGGGATTTCCATTTATTTAGTAAATGTTAGCAGGCTGGGGCGCTGGTTTAGCTCAGTTGGTAGTGCAGGCGCCCCATGTACGAGTAAGAGTCCTCAATGCACTGGTTGCTGGATTTTTCCCTGTTCCTGATGCTATTTGGTTCATGTCCTCCACCCACTCTTTCTCCCAGATCTGTCTCTCCATTGCAGTCCAAGCTAATAAAGGCAGAAAAATAATAATAATAATAATAATAATCTCTGCAGGGGGAAGCAGGCTTCCATGCTAATTAAACATGGGAACATGGCATACATTATACTTCTTACAACTGTTAGTTTATTATATACCATTTTCATTGCTAACCTGTTAGCATGCTGTAAGCATTTCGATAAAAACACTTGTGTGCCCAAATGCAGCCCCGCAGAGCCTATTGCTACAGACTCTTAGTCTTCTCATGTAAACACAAATGATGATTATCTGTTGTGAGATAATTCAAATGTTTTAAAACTTTTAAAGTTGAGTTCAACTTTTTAGTGGAAGATACAGATGGCACAAGTGCAGGAGTAAACTTCTGTTCAATATCCTCCTACTAAGTGTTTCCCTTTTTATGGTTATTTGCTGCATGCACTCCATTGTATATTTTTTAACTGACTGACATATATTTCAACAGCTTCCCACTAACTTTGACACAGAATCAGCTCTGTTGAAGTTCCCAGTGCTCTATGAAGAGAGCATGAACACTGTACTGGTCCAAGAGATGGAGCGCTACAACACGTATGAACTAACAACCCAGTGCAGAACTTTGAGACGCACAGTTCACCATCAACTATGTCTTTACTGCTGTTCTTTTTTTTTTCTTCTCACAGGCTATGTAGTACCATCCGTGTGAGTCTACAGAATCTGTTGAAGGCCATCAAGGGCTTGGTGGTGATGGATGCAGAGCTGGAGGCAGTTGCAGGCAGTCTGATTGTGGGCAAAGTCCCAGAGAAATGGGCCAAGCGCTCTTACCCCAGCCTCAAGCCTTTAGGCAGCTACATTACAGACTTTCTCTCAAGGCTTAAGTTTCTGCAGGTGAGACTGCATAGGAAAGATTCAATCAAGGAAAACTGGAGAAACAACTTTGATTATATGGAAACTCTGTGTTTGTCTAGCAACTTATAATAACACTTTTACTTTGTGTGTCTACAGGATTGGTATGAAGCAAATAAACCGAACGTGTTCTGGCTGTCTGGCTTCTTCTTCACCCAGGCATTTCTGACTGGCGCTATGCAGAACTACGCCCGAAAATACCACATCCCAATTGACCTGCTAGGCTTTGAGTATGAGGTTAAAAGAAACACTTTGAATCCCTGTATCTTCTCTCCAAATATACTCTCATAGCCCGCCGAGTATACTTATCTTCAGATTTGTTATTGACTTACACTTACAGGTTCTTGCTATTGATGAGTCAGACACATCACCAGAGGACGGGGTTTATGTAAATGGAATGTTTCTTGATGGAGCTCGGTGGGACAAAGAAAGGTAGCGGTTCTTACCTGGGTTATTTAAAGGCAAATCATTGACATAGTGGAGATAAAGAATATTTTATAAACATTATTTTTTCCCTGCCTATCTTTAGTGGAGTTCTGGCTGAGCAGCATCCCAAAGTCCTGTTTGACGTAATGCCAATCATCTGGATAAAACCGAGTAAGTAACATCGCAGCCTTTTATCAAATGTTTGACTAATTAAATGCAAGTATTTCACGTTTTTGTGTGTCTGTTTCATCAACTTTTAATCCATTCCTCGTGTTATTTCCTCTTTCTTATCCTGTCTCACTGCTACTTAATTTCTTTGTCTCTATGCTTCTTTCTCTCCCCTGCAGCTCAAAAGAGCACCAGTCAGCAGAAGCTGTTTGTCTGCCCTCTCTACAAGACGAGTGAGAGGAAAGGAACACTCTCTACCACAGGCCACTCTACAAATTTTGTCATTTCCATGACGTTGCCCACTAGCAGGCTCCCTCAGCACTGGGTCAAGCGTGGCGTTGCCATGCTTTGCCAGCTCGACGACTGAGTTCAGACAATAAATCTTAAGCATGTTGCCGTGTCAGATTAAAAAACTTCATCAAAATGTCCTGCTCATTTACAATATGAAATAAAACTTCAAATCAGTTGGGCACAAATCAGTGTATGGTCAACTACCGGTATAGTTCTTCAACATAAAAGTGTACTCTGCATTAGTTTTATGACATACCAAACCTGAGAAGCATTTTGCATGCAGCCTTTTATTAAATCCCTGCACACAACTTCTATGTTAATTCCCCATTTGGGCCTGTAGTACATAATCTTCCTGGTGTACTGCAGCTCTTTTGCATTAACTAGTTTTGCTCACACTTTTGAGGTCTTCCTAGTTCACAAGGATCATTTCATCGCCTTTTGCTTTCCACTTAGAGTTTGGATGTTCCTTTTTTCCTCCCACTGATTGTGCCTCCATGCTCTGATAAACTATAATGAAATGGGAAATAAACAGGTGAATGTTAGTAATTATGCTGTGTTGGCTTGGGCTGTGGTGGTGGGGCCCACAGTGATATATTTTCCCAGGGCCCCAGGTTTCCCGGTGACGCCCCAGCTTGTATCATTAGCTGTTTTTTTCTTTATGCAAAAGGTCATGCTTATCTCTCCTACACTAAAAAAATAATTCAAAATATCTTTTAGAGAAATGAACTGTAAAGAAATTAAAAGAACACTATACCCTCATGGAATTTCACAATAAATTAACTAAATAGTGTTTTGTGAAAGAGCAATGTCAGCATCAGAAGGTAGGACAATGAATCAATAAATAGTGAATAAATGTGGCCTAGTACTTTAATTAAATTAAAAGATATTCCAAAAAGTTATGTTTTACTTTTTAAAACTGGCTTTAAAGGGACATGTTCCTGTCAAAGCTCCCCTACTATGTCTTTTTAATAAATATCTCTGTGCTGTGATTGAATCTGGGCATGTTGGCTGAGTGGTGGCAGTTGTTGCAGTGCTCAGTGGGTCAAAGCTAGGTGCTGGCTGTGAAGACCCCGTGATCTGACATTTATAGTTGCAGAGATATAAATAGTGGCAGCGTGTGTGGGTGCTGAGTAACACTTGCTGTTGTAAACTCCACCGATTGCGGACTGCCATTTGACTGAAGGTAAACGGCAAACAAATAAGTAATGCATCAAAAGAAAAATCAGTTCGATTAGCATGACTTTCAAAACTAACTGTGGAGCCATGTTGTTTGTAGATGTTAAATGTCTATGTTTTAATTTGTTGGTTATTTATTTGCATGTGGTACTGTAGAAATGTTTTGATGTTTCTCAGGTTTCTTGATGACCTTTGTTCTTTCACCTGAAGATTAATATTTGATAATTGCTCACAGCAATCATTTGTGCCATAGAAATCTGCAACAAAACTGTTGATTAAAGATCATATGAGGAAATGTTGTCTTAAACACGTATGGACACAGTGGTACCTCATAAATCTTCTTGGATTTTGTCCTGTACATGAGAAGTAGTGTTTTCGAAACATCTCTGCATGCTTTCTTTTAACAGTCAAATGTTCCACTCATTGAGGATCTTTGTAACCAAAGGCTGTTTCATCATGCAGTTAATCACTTAGACACCTACCACGCTGCAAAGCTTTCAAGAATTACAAATAGCAATATAGAAGTAATCAATCTTGTTTGCTTTTATATCATAAAGAGTCATCTGTATTGATTTTGGTCAATTTCAAACCAGCTTTAAACTCTTGACATGAGCTTTAACTGAAAGATATTCTCTTTTGCCTGGCCTGCAAAGTACTGAGCCTCTGGTCAACAGCTTTTATGCATTTTAGAGTCAAATGCTGTATCCAAACTCACTTTGACATCTTCAAAACGATAATATGGCTGTCTGGAAATACTCTGTGCTCAGCTTAACTGTGTAGCAGTTTACTTTTCCCTTTCGCTGCTGCAAGTGGTCGTGTTAGTTTTCAGACACCTGATTTAATACTCTTGTTTACTTTGTGGCTGCGTCTCTCCAGAGCAAGCCATTGTGCGTCATCTACTTCTGACAGATGAACACAGAGACAGAGGATGACTTTTATCAATCGGAGGACGACTTGGATGAAGATGAGGCGACGCAGTACATCATTGAACAAAGTCTTATTCAATATAGAAAACTCAAAGGATTGAATCCAAGGTTAAGGTCAAGACTTACTAATCATTGAATGTCTCATTCTGTATAGTGTGTTTTGGTTTTTGAACCTTTGGATCTTCTTATCCACTTTTTCTTTCTTTAGTGATCTGAAACCCAGTGAAGACCCTGATGAGATTTTCAAAGCTATTAGGGAAGGTAAACAGAATTGATTCTGTAATAGCATGTTATAATACATCCTGACTAGATTCTCATATCATGCCCTGTCTTTATGTTAAGGTGATGAAGATGCACTGGACATACTGGCATTGCAACCAGAGACCCTTTCCAGAGTTGATGACCGTGGATGGATCCCTTTGCATGAGGCTGCTGTGCAGGAGAATAAATGTATACTTGAGATGACCTTCTCAGGTAGTGAGGCTATCAAAACCATTTCTGTGATATTTGACCATAAGGACTCCTTTTGAAATGCCTGCCATGCTGATTATTTATTTGTGTTTCAGCATCACCCCCGGGTGCAGCCCAGTGTCGTACTCTGAAGGGTGAGACGCCGTTGTTTCTCGCCGTGGTTCATGGACTCAGAGAGAGTGCTACATTCCTGTTACAGAACGGTTCTAGCCCGGATCTCCTGAACGATGAGCAGGACTCTCCTTTAGTGGCAGGTATCTGACATATTCATGAAAAACACAATTTATTTAAAGCTCCTGTGAGTAGATTTGGGATGTTTATGGAACTATCTAAAATGTATACTGATGTCTCTTCATGACCTAAAAAAAACAAACAAGACCATCAAAGGGCACATGTATTTTTTCTTCATAGTCTAGTTTATTTTATACCCCCCTGCTGTGGGGTAGGTGTCACATGAGGCGATCATCATCACAGTCATAAAAAAACGTTTTATCTAATTAGATTTGATGACGGTGTCACGTTATTTGAAATCAAGAATGATGAGACAATCAGAAAATATTACTTTCACATTTACAGGACATGATCAGCAGTCAGAAATAATTTGTCCACAGGGGGGCGCCAAAACCAACACAACTCAACTCCAACCCTTACAGCAGTTTTAACAACACAACCACAGACATCATCCAATTAACCTTTCCCTCTCTTTGTTTCTCTTTCTCTAAGCTATTCTGAACGATCAGTATGACTTGGCCACTCTCTTGCTTCGCTACAATGCCAGTGTAGACCAAACCGGACCACTGAACAGGACAGCTCTACATGAGTCCGCCTTTTTAGGCCTGGAGAACTTTGTCTATCTGCTACTAGAGTCTGGAGCCAACCCAAATGCGTGCGACATCAAAATGAAAACTCCACTGGCTCTAGCTGCACAGAATGGACATCTGAACGTGGTGGAGGTCCTCTTACAGAAAGGTATATATGGATTACAAATGTCTTGGCTTCTTGATGTTACTTAGGGAGCTGACCTGACAGTTTATGTTGCAAAAAAGAAAGATAAAACAATACTAGCTTTGAGAAAAAAATAAGGGGGAAAGGCATTGCAGGGCATCATTTTGTCTTAATGTTTTTTATATCTTGAAAACGCCTAAATGTACTATTATATTATATGTATTATTTTCAGGAGCCCACGTGTGGTGTGAGTCGGAATCAGGCACCATATTGTTCGAGGCAGCACGATCAGGTAACCCTGACATAATCTCCCTGCTGCTGGACCATGGAGCAGATCCCAACCGACCTCTGTACGGTGGGCACCTGCCAATCCATCGCGTGGCCTACCATGGACATATACTGTGAGCATTCTCTTAGTTAACAACATGGAGCTCCTTCTTTTGTCAAATAGGGTTTGAACCTCTGTTTTGTTTTTTACATGAGCTATCCTCTCTGACAGGGCTCTCGATCATCTCATACCTGTGACTAAGCTGGAGGCAGTAAAGGAAAGTGGGATGAGTCCTCTCCATTCAGCAGCTGCTGGTGGACATGCACATTGTGTGGAGATGCTGCTCAAAGCTGGCTACGATCCAAATTTTATGCTTCACCAAAGGGTGAGGCACAACTATGATGACGAGCGAAGGTCTGCCCTTTTTTTTGCTGTGTCCAACAATGATCTGCAGTGCACCCGCTTGCTGTTGGAGGCTGGGGCAATGGTGAACCAGGATCCTATCAACTGTTTGCAGGTGGCTCTAAGACAGGGAAACTATGAACTGATCAACACGTTGCTAAAGTCAGGGGCAAATGTGAACTACTACTCCCGAATCAACACCACCCACTTCCCCTCAGCACTGCAGTATGCTTTGAAAGACGAGGTCATGCTGCGGATGATTCTTAACCATGGATATGATGTTAAGCGTTGCTTTGACTGTCCCTATGGAGATAGTTCCCATGACTACGCTCCTTGGACGACCTCTATCATCAAAGACATGGTGGTGAGTCAAGGCTTGTCTGGGAGAAAGATGGTGTAAAGATTAAGATCATATAGAAATACATGAATGAATCCCACAGTGGAAATATTGAAGCAACTCTTACTAATTTGTCAAGGTTTCCCTTCATCTGCCACATGTGTCTTTGTCTCTTTATAGTTCTGCGAGGTGATAACAGTGTCCTGGCTCAAACACATCTCTGCTCAGGTGGTGCGCATCATGCTGGACTACACTGACCATGTCACCTTCTGCACCAAGCTCAAGGACACGTTGATTGAGCAGAAACAGTGGCAGGAGATCTGTCACATTCAAAGTATGAGCTGCCCCAACATCCTGCTCTTGTGTACTGATGACGTTGTATGCATTTATTGACTTGACTTTTTTTTTTTAACTTTCATTCAGGAAATCCACGGAACCTGAAGCACCTTTGCCGGCTGCGAATAAGGGAGCATTTCAGTCGTCTGCGCTTAAGAGCTCCAGTTTTTATCAACTTTCTTCCTCTTCCCCCCAGGTTGAAAGATTATATACGCTACAAGGAGTTTGATGTCTACAGCAGGGGCTGCATGATTAGCCCACAGTGAAAATGCATTTATAGATTTGAAAGATACCACTGTGATAAAGGGACAAAGTCGGTCCATTACCTGTTTACCTTGATATTGTGTGTTTTTAACATTATATAATTTTCCCCAGAAGAAAATGTATGAAGGCTACTTGATGCCTTGCAATCAATTATATTTGTACAAAACAATACTCTTGTGTAATTTCCTCCAATAGCTTGTGTAACATGTTATCGCCTTGCTTACAGATTCATTCTCCGTTCTCTTTATTCTTCTCGTTAAGTAGGTCCTGAAAAAACATTTTGACTAACAACTTTATTCGCCTATACTTTGACAACCATAGTGGTATTTCAAATTGAGTAATCAGTTTTAAAAATGTGAAGGCAAATGGTTCTGATAAGAGATGGCATGCCAGCACATGCCCAGTTGCTCATTACGATTTCACAACGTAATCAAAAACATCTGTAACTGCACAACATCCTATAAGAATGTGAGAATCCCTGACACTCTGCCACCACCTGGTGGGGAAATTAAGTATTACAGGAGTGAAATATTTTTTTCTTACATGCTGCTCTTGAAGTTTCACAATAAGTTTGTGAATCGGAAGCATCGACCAGAGTGCATCAGGCAATAGTGTGTGTTGAAAATATTTCAGAAATATGATAATATGAAGTTGAGTAATTATTTCCTGTCAGGCAGTAATGGCTTCTGGGTAGATTATACGTAACTGGATGCATGCCACACATTATTCTTCCTGTTTAATGGAAAATGTACTCCATTAAACAGGAAGAATAATGTGTGGAATGATGTGGTCGCTCGTTTCGTAGTTTCACATCCAATTACTACTACAAGATTTCTGGCAGTACATCTGTCCCGCCGCTGGGGGGCGCGGATTCTCTCGAATGTAAACATAGAGTGACGGCAGCGTTTTGCAGTGGTGGAGAAGAACGTGTACGTCATTTTCACAATGGCGGAGGCTGGGTGAGGAGGAGAGTGTGTGTGTGTGTGTGTGAGTGAGTGAGAGAGTGAAGCGGCGCCGTAATCGTTAGAGCTGTTATTGCCCGCATTTACGTGCACGGTGCCCGAAAATGGCCCTGAACCCCAGTGCGGTGGGGAGAAGGGACTCGGAATGCACCAAGGCGGACGATCCCCAGCCGGACTGTGGCGAACCCCCGAAGAAATCATCCGCCGCCTCGGCCACAGCCAAGCAAAATGGCGATCAGCCTGGATGTGGAGACAGTGTAATGCCCGAACAAGAAGCCCCTGAGCGGCGGAGGAGCGCGCAGGCGGACGCCCGGAGCTTCAGCGGTTCTCCCTTGCCGGGCCAGAGACCGAGCGAGGAGCTGCCACGGAAAAATTTTCAGATTCCGAGGAAGATACGAGAACGGAAAGGTGGTTGCCATATCCCTGCAGTTTTTTTTTTTTTGCACAGAGCCTGTCTTTCATACGTTAATTCTGCTGCTCCTGCTGCATGTTGCTAGCGTGCTAGCTGGCTAACTTGCTGATCTTCTCTAGTTTAACGAGTTCAAAACTTATGATCACCAGCAATTTCGGTGTGCGTTAAGACAGACGCCATGTGCCGTGTTAGCGCATACGGTCGTCTTGATCGGTGCAGCCCTGAGTAGTTATTGCAGACAAATGGTTTATAGTTGTGCTCAGTTATTAGTGAGCTGCTGACTTCGTGTTAAGGCGCCTAAAAGCAGCACTTTTTTTTATTTTTTATAAGAGGACTGGCCATTTGAACTCCCCACCTTGTGCAGTTTTCGCCACCTGTTCAAGTGTGATTGAATATTGCTGCTGCCGGTGGTGTCATCATAGGTGTGTTGCAGCCATCACCTGACAACATGTGGGTGTCTCATTGACCTCAGTGAAGGGCATGGATGTACCTCTCCCCCCCACTTCACCTGTCTGTTTAAAAATGTTTCTACAGTGCAATGACACTTGTGATGCTTTCCAAGCATAGCTGCCCACTCACCAGTTTAATGATCACTTGGTCCCTCATAGCATCCCTTGTACACCTAATAACCCAATAACCCCTCCTCAGAGACAGCTCTCCCTAACACAGCCCCACAATGTCTCCAAAAGCAGCAATACCTCTGCAGAGTGGCATAATAGTGGCTGTTAAGGTCCTTTTGTTGTTGTTGTTGTTGTTGTTGTTGTAAATCAATTATTTGTATATATGCAAAATGAGCTGATGTTGCTAGACTTTAATCTTGAGCACGATCTAAGCAGCGTTCTAGGTCAACGTTTCCCTCAGCAGGTGGCACAGGTTGTGTTAGTACTGTCAGTAGACACATTTCCATTGTTCGCCCCTTTTAAACCTTTGTGTAAATGTAAACAGATGTAATGCTGAGCCTGCTGCACTGATCATTGTTGACGTTAGGAAATCCAGTTACAGCTGTCGATCAGTGTCCTTAAAACAATAATACCGCCTATTGCACAGTTAAGTTATCTTAGAACTATGTTTAGCAAATGATGATGCTGCTGCTGGTTTTTAAGCAACCCCACAGAGCGGGACTAAACATCCACAGTGTCTGCTAGCACTCAGTTCACATCACTTCATCTTGCGCTCACTGCCTCTTTTTTTTTTTTTTTGAGCATGTGACTCAATTATGGAACCTTAGTGTCAACAGAGGACACATGATGTCCCCTTCCTGTGAAGGAATGTGACATTGTATGGTGTGCTACTTTTGATTTGATTCTCCTCTCTACATGCGCACACTTGTAAGCAGTAGCTGCCATATACTAACCACTGTTTACCCCCATGCGTGTGTGTGCAGGCTTGTACCAGTTCCTGCCCCCCGACAGCCGAGAGTTTGATGACCTCGTGAAGATCGTCTCCTCGTTTTACCTGGACGCATCCTCACGAGGGACCTTCTCGTACTGCAAAGCCAGGCTCATTCACAATGAGCTTCTGGAAAAGGAGGTTGGTCATTGTCTCGCCTGTACCCGACTTTATCTGGATGAATATTAGGGCTGCTCCTTTGATTTTTTTTTATTGATCAAAGCGTTTTGTAGGCTGAAATAAAGCTAAGACTGCGTAGTGCGGTAATTCTAAAGATGCTGATGTAGCACACGCTGTTATAAGACATTTCAACACGCAAGTGCAATCCTCTTGTTATAGAGTGTTTATTGACCAGTGATCAATGATACCTTGACTATAAGTTGTCCCGTACCGTGCTGAAGCCCCCCCCCCCCCCCAGTGCCCCTCTGGCCTGCACTCACATTGCTCCAGGCCTGATCACGGTTACCTCTTGTACATAACGTCTTAATACAACACATGCATAGCTTTATGTGATCATGAAACATGCTTATTTTGCAACACAGGCAGACTCAAAATTAAGGGCAAAGGACGCGTTTGAAACCGCGCTTGAAACTGGACTTAAGGAGTCAGACATGCTCGTGCGTGGTACAGATTGCCAGTCTGAAGAGTTCAGTCTGCTGTGTCTCATTGGCTGTGTACCGCTTTGTCTTGCAGTTCATCGAGAAGCGGAGAGAGATGAAGCAGGAGGGGCGCACGGAACAAGAGCTGACTGAGTCCTACTGCTTCCTCTACCCGGACAAATCCAAGGTATCAGTGAAGGACGAGATATGAAAGACGACGCTTTCTTTTTCATTTGTTTGACTTCATTCTGATCCTCGTGTGTGCCCTTGTACGCGCAGCTCCCGTGGGTCTGCGAGAAGGGTCTGTCAGTCGGGCACTCCAGGATTACGACTCTAGGAAATCCTTCAGTTGGTAAGTTTGTGGTCTGATTTGCTGTTGACATGACCTGAAAGGAGACTAGAATGTTGTGGGAAACCTTTTTTTTTTTTTGGGTGTCGGGTTAATTTATTTTTTCATGGGTTGCATTTTTTAAATTTAACATCTTTGTTTTGATCAACGTGTGAAGGTGTTTGACCTGGAAAAGATGGATTTTCTTTTTTAAACAGCTTGTACCTGCCCTGATACATGCAACAATGAATCACTTGAATGTTGTTCAACAAGTAACCGCTGTAGGATTGATGTTTTGTCTGGATTGTCCTCCAATGCACTTTAATGGCCTATCATCATAATGCTATTCTTCTAATTTTGCTCTTTTCTCACTGTAGGTGTTTATCTGTCCAAATACTCAGATCTGTTACAAATCAATCCCTTGGATGTTGGCTCTGTTGGAGACATAGTTGTCTTTAAAGTTATGCGGGTAAGGCTACCATCCTGTCTGCTTTTTGAGATGTTGACAGAGTTCTTGCTCGACTGAAAACTCACCAGTATATGACGTGTTTTTTTTTTTTTCCAGGGCCGAATTAAGCACATCCACGAGAACATGCCTAAGAACGCTATCGAACCTACACCCAAGTTCGACTGTCACCTGTCAAGAAGTGCCAACCGGGTGACGTCTCTGCTGTCTTACAGAGCTTTTGAGCTCACACAGGTAAACACTGGATTGTTGTTTTCCTTCACTTGTTGTATGGCTTGTGTAAGCTAACTAATGTAATAAGCTCTTTTATTCCCTAGATGGAATTTAAAGGTTTTCACGAGTCTTTCTTTTTGACTTTCAGCAATATTTCTTTGAGTTTGCGTTCGAAGAGATCAAGGCACGGCCGCGGCACGTCTGCCCCTACGCTGTGATTTCCTTTCAGTACAAAGGCAAGGAAGCTGCAGCGGCTCCTATGACTGCACACAGGTAACATTCATTCATTCCTTCGGAGAACATTTTAAAAGCCATCAAGTATTTTAAAGTGGTTTCCATTCTGACATCTCTGCAGTTTTCTGTGTTTGTTAATGAGATCTGTATTCCTCTTCCCCAAAAGGTTCAACACTATTACCCCTGAAGGAAGTAGAGGTAAAACCTCTTTCACATGTTTGTTAAATATATACTGAAACCAAAAGTATTGTTAGTTTCAACATTTTAATGCTCTTTCTTACCTGCTGCTTTTCAGAATCAGCTTAGAAAAGTGCATTTAGTTTTATGGACCCTGTTTTCGCTTTGCATGATGTTTCACCTCCTTCCTTTGCTTTTGCCTCTTTTGCAGGGAAAAGCTGCTACACTGTGTGGAGTGGTCCACTAGTAAACAAGGGCCAGGAGTTATTCCCCATCTGTTTACGATCATCCTCGCGCCCCTACCTTCCTTTCAAACTGTGAGTAAACCTTCCTCAATCAATTCTGCTAATCCGCCGGAAATATTGGCAGTGCCGTTTCAGAATTTAAATCTGATCTGCTACATGCAGCTGTCTCATGAGTGTTAAGAGGGAGTTAGAGACTAAGTGCAATGAAATGCCAGTAGGTTTACTTGAAATGGTTTTGAATGCTGTTTGACTGGTGCTCCTGTGTGCTCCCCTGCAGGCCTGAGAAACTGGAGGTGACTCGAGGTATGCAGCTGGATCAGGCGAAGCGAAAGATTCACCCTTCGCTCTTTTCATGGGACACCTACAGCGCTTCACGGGAAGGTCAGTCTGGATCACACGTGTAGATCTCGTAACCAGGTGATGGAAAAGTGGAGACCACAATGCTTTTCTTCATATCCAGTGTCTAGAGCTTCTTAAATGCAAACCCTGCAGTATTTGTTACAGAAAAAAACGAAACACTTTCACACTTTATCCGTTCTAACATTTAAGTACAAGTTGAGCTCAGGGTTAAAAAAAAAAAAAAAAGGACTGCATAGATTGGTTGTGTCAGCTTTTCTAATTTGCTTCTCTTTGTGTGCAGTGATGAAGTGTGGGATGTCCTGCAGCCTGTTTGAGGTGGTGGATGGGAAAGGCAAAGCAACCAGCGGCAGCCTGTCAGCGCTGGTCCACAAACTGGAAAGGGACAGGATGGTGAGTCACACTATCTGGTACTTACCGGGTTCTAATGCATACACATCCCGTGAATACACAGAATTCAGTTCAAACAGTTTGAGAATAGGGCTGCACGATATGTCGTTTCAGCATTGTCATCACGATGTGCGCATGCGCAATAGTCACACCGCAAAGGACATGCGATGTGAAGAAGAAGAAAAAAATCCGTCTGGAGCCGAAAAATATATCTGAGACTTTCAATTAAGTTTATGTAACCTGTCTGTGCCCATTCACATTACTAATAGATCTAAATGAGCATAAATGAGCATCCATTTATATAATCCATTTATATATTTTACCACTTTATACGACAACTCGCATAGTTAGAGGACATTCTCAGCGCTCTGTCATCTCACCTGCTGTTATCAGGGTCGGGCAGAGAGAGGGAGCGGTGGATGTGAGCGGAGCATTGCAGGGATTTTGACAATCTTGACAGTTTGCTTATCGTTCATATCACATAAGGGGCTATACTTAACACTTTTGAGGTTAAAGGCAGCGGCTTCCAGAGCTGCGCGTTCAACTTTGTCTTCAGTCAGAACAGGCTCTAGGTTTCGTTTTTGAGGTCTTAAGTTTCGATCTTCTGATAGCTCATTTTATTGTTTATTTCACGTCCTCCTTCCCACGCCTCACGATTTCATGAGCTGCCATAAAACTTGAAACAGTCGTAGTTTAATGTCGAAGTAATCCGCTTATCTGCTTAAAGTTTGCTTTGCTTTGCATCTTCACAAAATGCATTGTGCTTGTTCTAGAGATGTCTCTAAACCTTACTTTTCATTGATTCACATCTCTGGCAACTGATTACTCAAGCCTACAACAAAGGCAAAACGCAGGAGGAGGACAAACTCTGTGAGCTCATTGCGCGTCTGCTCAGCCTGTATGTATGTGCGCGCTCCCGCTGTGAGTCTCTCTCGCGCGCATGCTAGAGGAGCGCAGCACGTTAACATATTTAATAAATATCCCCGTAATATTATTTGGTCGCGGTGGAAACTTAAATGATTTCATTTCATTTCATTTCATTTTACCTTTATTTATTCTCGAGAAATCATTGAGGGCAAGCCCTCATTTACAATGACGTCGAGAGTACAATTAAAATGAATTAAGAGACAAAAAAGACAAAAAAATAACGAAGACAAAATACATAGATTATAAGACCAGAAGAATAAGCAGTAAGCAGGTAACTACAGTTAATAACATGAGTACAGTGAGCTGTGATCAAGTTTTTAAATTGACCCATGGTAACCATTGTATTGAGTTTGAACGTGTTTTGTATTGTGTTCCAGGTGTGTGCAGCACAAAAAAGTGAAGGATGTTTTCCCAAAGTTCGTTTTTACATGTGGAACCGTTAACATTAGCCAGTCACTTGATCGAGTCTGATACTGATTATCAGCCCAGACTAATAAAGAAGTGATGTATACTGGTAGATTACCCGCAACTGATTTATAAATAAATAGCAGCCAATGCCGTTCACGTCTAACTGTTAGTGAAGGCCAACCAACTTGATGGAACCTCAGTGCATGAGCGCATTATTAAAAAGTCTGAGAAGAATCTGAGAAGAATCACTTGCAGGAAATATTATAGATCAATATCAATAATTAACGGATATCAACATGATTAAGACTCTTTTCAAATGCATATAGCGTTCACGGAGGCAGTGAGAGACAGAGGCAGACAGGTGAGAGTCTGTAATCATCATTTCAGGGAGAATTCAGCTGAACAGAGTGAAGCAGCAAACTTGAAAAAATATCGCATTATATATCGCAGGAAACAAAACTATTGCAATGTCATTTTTTCCCAATATCGTGCAGCCCTATTTGAGAATAAAATACATTTTAACCTGAGGTAAAAGATGTTCATTCCAGAAAATATTGCTTTTGTCTATCCTCATGTAATTAATCAAAAATACAGTCAAACTATCAAATTATTCCTTTTATGTATTAAACAGCATAAAACCTAACAATGTAGAACAAGTGTCCATAAGGAATAGATGTAAACATACTCAACAGAAGACGGATGTTACAATATATCAGATGATTCTCACAGCCTGATGTTTTCTGACTGCAGCGTCTCCTCTCCTCTCTCAGGTGCTGGTGAATTCCTTGTTTGACAGGGGCTTTCTCTTCCTGCTGTCATCAGCTCAGATGATCGAGTCCAAAGGTACCAAAAAGCTTTTGCTCTTTTCGCGTGATTCTCTGCTTTGTCAGATGAACACCTACTTGTTCCCCTCGGCGAGGGTTCAGAGTTTCTGTTTGTTTTCTAGAGCGGCGGGGGCGAGTGGAGAAGAACCTGCAAGCATTATTCATCTTTCAGGAGTCAAGGATGGTTGTCAAGTACTGTAAGTATTATTCACTATCTCTTTCTCTGACCGAGCCCTCGTGGCAGCATCTGCATGAATCTCAGAGCTGGAAGGTTTTACTGGCAAACAGGGATGATGAATATGACGGTGCTCTTTATTCATGGCTACCTACTTCATGCTCCTGCTTTTTTCGAAAAACGAAAGATAACATCCCCGTTTTTATATTTTCACTCTTGATTTGTCATTTAAAAAGCTGCTATATAAAGACTTTAATAGTAAAAGCATGTGTTAAAGAAAGTGACATATGTTTCCTCATTGTAGCATCCAGACTGTTGGAGCGTGAGCCGCTGTCTGGGGAGCCCCAGCCTGCTATCCTGTCCTCCGTGGAGCCTTTCATCCCTGCTCTGCACTACTCCCTTTACAAGTTACGTCCCAACCCAGGCAAGGACCTGAGCTTAGGGGTGGAACGACAGGCCACGGACTACCTAACTCGTGTGGATGCAGGCACAGTGCGGCCGTTCATTCTTCCCGACTACAAACACACCGTAGAAGAAAGGACCAACCCAGTGCCCCGGCCCAAATTTAACATGGAAGCCGTGCTGCGCACATATGTTCACAGTCCTGTTAACTACATGTTACCTCTGAACAAAGTGAAGGATGTAATAGAAAAAATACGGAACCCCACACCTGTACCCACACCTACTCCCGCCCCAGTGGAATACAGCCCCGTTTCCGACTGGGGCGGCTCAGACAGGGGCTCGGACAGGGTAGAAAGACTCCCAGAAAGGCCGCCTCAGGAAAGGCCACCTTTAGAAAGACCGCCTCAGGAGAGGCCAGCACAGGAAAAGCCTCGAAGGGCAGGATTGGCACACTCTAACGGGGCCCAGCCGCAGCACAAGTCTCACATAGATCCCGCGCCTCAGCAGCCTCAGAAGCTGCGACTGTCCCAGAATGAGTACGATAAAGACAAGATGAAGCAGCTGCTCAAGCTCATCCAACTCCATAAGAAAGCAGTTGTGAAGGATCCTGGCAAGCAAAAGGGAGAGGATGGCGCTTGGGATGAAAACAGTCTGAAGAGGAAGTTGGAGGGGGATGAGAGGTTGGGCTTGAACAAACGTGCACGTGAAGATGCACTGAGCAACGGGGAATCCAGTCGAGGTGAGGACAGCTGCTGCTGTTTCTGATTTAAAATTTGATAAACAAATGTATTTTATTAGTTTCCCCAACAGTGTCATTCGATTTCAACAGTGTCATTCGATTTCAACAGTGTCATTCGATTTCAGTAAAATTCTGAGGTTTACAAGTACTTAATTCTGGGGGGGGGGACCTTTTCATTTAAGGTAGTTTAAAATAAAATAAAAGTAACGATAAAAGTTTCAAAAGTTGACTAATGTGCACCGATCACATCCCTCTTCATCGTCTCTTTGCAATACACACAAAAAAAATGTGGTTATTATTTACGATGTTCTAGTAGACTAACATATCTCGCTTTAATCAACCAACCACACTAATTGTTTTGTATCTTGATAGGAGCCCAAGCTGACGAGATGGGAGATGACATTGGACAGAGCGACAATCTGACAGCAGTGATGGAAAGCATGGGCATCTACGACACCGACCTGAGAGCTCGAGGTAACACCAACGCCTCAGCAGTCAATGAGACCCAGCGCCTCCTCAAGATCCTTTTGGCCACTCTCAACAAAGCCGTGGCTCAGGGTTCCATGTCTTTACCGCCAAACCACGGTGAATCGTCGACTGGCTCAGGAAGGGCGGAAGCTGCTTTCCCTGACCCAAACCTTCGGAAACAAAATGAGCCAGCATTACTTACTAACTACACAGAGGTAAGATTTGATCAGATGTTTTTTTTTTTTTTTGTTTTTTTTTTAAATCCCGAGCTGTGTTTACTGACTTAAAATGAACCACTGGTGTTTTCTCTCTTCAGGTGGATATGGACTGTAGCCCTGGTAGTCCATTCAGTCCGGGTTCCCCACCAGAGCAAGCTCACACCTCAAATGACCCAACATGGGTAAACCCCGCAAATGAAGGTACCTCCACTCATCCCCACTTAAAAGCACGTTACATCTGGTTCACAAGGCGTCAGTGTGATAAGTTCTTCTTCTGTCCTTTTAGAAATAGCACAGCCTTTCCTTGAGCCAAAGCCTGAGCCACAGCCAGAGGCCGTGACAGCGGTGAAAAGCTACCAGGAGCAGAAGACGCCCGCAGACGTCGAAATAAAAAAGGTGGCTGCAGCAACCACGTTACCTATCACAGAGGAAGTTCCCTTCAGGCCCTCCATCAGCCTGGACACCATACTGAGCCAGGAACTTCACAGTCTTACCTCTGACATTAAAAACATTATGCAGGCTCATCACATTTGCTACACGTCAAGGCGACCAGTAAGGTTGCCTACTTACCACTCCTGGGTGCCCAACACCGGCTTCTCAGACTTTGTTGTACCTTACGTCGCCCCTGTTCCCATTCAGGGGCATGTCAAAGCACTGTGCGATAAGATGGACAAGTTGATCCCACCTGCTCCCCCAAAGGCTGCTTCCCCACCTCCCCCAGTGACAACTTCTAATCTTACAACACCACCCCCAACCCCAGCAGAGACTCCAAAAACGAAAGCAGAGCCCTCCCAGTCAAAGAGCAGCACTCCCTCTCACAGCAGCAAAGGTCTTTCTGTTAAAGAGGCAGCAACAATGAAGACCAAAACAGAAGCCCAGTCTACAGAGTTGGGGGGAGAGATGTATTCTCCCTCTCACGTCACTGCAGATTCTCCAGAGCGTAACTCCCAGAACCCAGGCGCCGCCTCTGGGAGCGGGTCAGGCCTGCTGGCCGGCAGCCTCATCGGTCAGCTGAAGCCTGAGGTTTTCAGCAGCCTGGTGGAGATCTTCAAGGATGTCACCAAGAACACAGTCAAGTTCTACATCTACTCCGGGGATGAAGCGGAGGAGAGCACTGTCTGCAAGCAGATTAAGGTACAGTACGAGGTTTGAATGTGGCCTCGAAAAGGAGAGCAGTAGTAGTCATTAACATGATCAATTATTCTCTGATTTATGAAGTCTGTGACAAATGCATATCATACGTTTCATAACACATAGATGATGCCTTTAGCTTTCCATCCATTCAAACCCCTAAACCTAAAAATATTTCATGTAGAAATGTGTTCAAAATCCTCCACTTTATGAGGAGGATTTGGATAAACGGTAATCCTAAATAGTAAAGATAGTGTGAGAGGAGTTGGTAGAGCAGACGCCCCGTTTAAAAAAAGGGTCAAAGCACTTCCCTCATCTGAACCTATGGTGCCTGTCGTCTCCACTCTCTCTTCACCATTTTCCTCGACTGTCTTAAGCTGTGCTATCAATAACAGTGAAGGCAAAAAAAAAAAAAAATCTTAGAGGAAAAAAAGCCAGTGTGGGGAACTTTAATTTTTATGTCCATCATGTGGACTAAGCGTACTCTTAGCTCTCTACCCACCCTGCCCTTTACATGGAGTATAAATAATTATATTAAAAATTATACATGTATTCCTTATTATCTTGTTTGTTTTTGTAAGTCATATAGAGGCATCAGTATTTACTTAAAGTCGGTTTCATAATCAACTAGAAACTCTTCTCGAGACTGATTGGCAGATGATCAAAATCAGTGGTTAATTATTTGAGTAAATCATTTAATCAATTATTCAGACTATTAATCAAAATGTGTTAATTAGCTACTCAATATGTCTACTTATCATTTACATGGCACATGTCAGATCTTACATATTCATCATCGGTACACTTCATTTCTTTTTTTTTCTTTGGGGAATAGAAGCTTCACAGCTTTCTGCCATAGTAAACAAAACAGACGCACACACACAAGCTGAAATGCAGGTCTACACTGTGAGTGAAGTGCTACACTAGCTCCTCTCTGTCACTGTGTGTCCCATCTCTCAGCGCTCAGCTCTTTCTATGTCTGTCAGACAGTCAGTTCTCGTAAGAGCGAGCGATACATTCATCTGTCTGTCTGTAACAATTACGTCTCTCCTGTCTCGTCCCAAAGGAGTACTTGAAAAGTCTCGGCAACAGCGAGTGCAGTCCACAGACGTTTCTGGAAAACAGCGGCAGTTTGGATAAGCTCCTCATCATCATTCAGAATGAGGACATAGCAGCGCACGTGCACAAGGTACAGTTGCCTCCTGCCACCTTCTTCACCTCGCAGCCTTGCTTCAATCTGGAGTTTAACATAGAGTAATGTCCTTGTAACGTTTTTATATGCAAACATTTTCGTTTAAAAGTAAAATAGGATATCTCATCTTTTCACTCTTCAGATCCCGGCTCTGGTGTCTTTGAAGAAGTTGCCTTCAGTGAGCTTCGCTGGAGTTGACACTCTGGACGATGTCAAGAACCACACTTATAATGAGCTGTTTGTGTCCGGAGGCTTCATGGTGTCTGATGAGTTTGTACTCAATCCTGACCTCATCACACCTGGTAACTTTAACTTTTTCTTTGTAAGAAGCGTGATAGTTCTCAGAAAAGAAAAAAAATCAGCTGGACTAGACTTCTGAGCTTGTGTTGCTTTTTTTTTTTTTTTTTTTTTGTCCAGATCGCTTGCAAGGGCTGCTGAAGTTCTTGGAGGACCAGAGCACCCCGGAACACCCTTGGCAGTGGAAGGTGCATTGCAAGTCTCAGAAGAAGCTCAAAGAACTGGGGAGGTCAGTATCTTCATTTCTTACAAAGCAATCTTTAGTGTATTTGCCAGATCCAAGCTTTTAAACAAAAATGTCCCAACACTTTCATGCATCAATTTCCGTTGTACTCTTCCAAGGATAAACACCAATGCCATGGGACTGCTGAACCTTCTCACAGCCTATCAGAAAAAGCACCTTGTCGAGTTCCTCCCGTATCACGAGTGTGACACCCAGTCGCGTCAGGCTCCAGATCTGGAGTGCTTGATCAAGCTCCAAGCACAGCACACACAGCAGCGGCACCTTATCTTCCTCACAGGTATGTTCACCAAAAATCACAATGTAAATGAGTGCTTTACCTTTATTTGAGTTGAACACTATTTTAAGTTGTGAATACAATGTTGAACTCAAATGAGATGTGTATGTTGGTATGTTTCTTTTTTTATGTTCAGAGAGGCCATTTGAGATGTTCCTACAGTACTCAAGGAATGGAATAGTAATTGGAAGCATTGATGACGTGATGAGCGGTTTCCACAGCCTGATTGGCTCCATTAATCAGAATGAGCTTCCAACGCCGCCCTCTACTGGTGAGTAGCATCATCCGCAGGACAAAACCCTAAAACAACTGGGTTTGCATGCAATTTTCCTGTAATGTGATAACTTTTTCTGAATTGCTTTTTATATTTTACAGTTATCATACCAGTTAAAGCCTCCTGTTCTACCCTGCAGTGTAATGCTGTTACTGTCTGTGTTTGATTGTATGTTTCCTTCCACTTCTTAATTTCTCCGTCTCTGCCCCCTCCTGCTCTCCCAGTAGTGAATGATGAGTGTGGGCAAGAGGAGGACATGTCATTAGACTCAGATGATGGTGAGCCACTCTCCACGTCGGAACCCTCAGAGCAGAAACAGGAACTTGGGAAGGGGAAGCCTCCACAGCCGCCACCGCCAGAGTCGGACGAGTTTCGTCCTCCGCTCCCGGACATGGCCACTCCAGAGAGAACTCCCACACTTTCTGACTACAGTGCTCTCAAAACAGCCATCTCTCAGTTCAAAGCTTCAAACCAGATGGGCATCTGCTCTTCAGACATTGGCAGCTTGTCCCCGGGAGGTTTTCCTGTGAATCCTCATCAGAGCTTTCTCTGTCCTTCAGCCTCCTGGTCGTCCTACACCGGTTCTTCTAGCTATGCTGCCTCCCCTGCTTACCCTGCCTCTCCCTGCAGCAGCACACACGAACAGGAATACCGCCCACCTGCCTCCACCACAGTCCCAACCCCACCCATCATGGCCACAGTAGGACCTCTAGCCAACCTGTCTTCCCTTCCCTTGGAGGTCAAACCTCCCCCTCCGCCTCACCTCATGATGCTGGGCCACACGTATGGCTCAGATACAGGAGGAGCAGGGACTGCTGGGAACTCTCCCCTCACCACCTCCCTCCCTTACACAGAACATAGTGACTCACCCCTGCCTGGTTACATGGCTGGCAGTGCGAGTCGGACCCCCACACTACAGGAAAGGACACTCAGTGGACCTGGGGAGGGAGTATGGGGGGCAGCAGGGATCAGCACTTGTGAAACTGCTATCAACCAGGGTGTGATCACATCTGGCCCACTGGACCCCAGTGGTCTCCCTAAAACTGGGGAAATCCTCAGTGGTAGCACCCCTGGTAGTCAGGGGTGCAGGACTCAGGTGAATTGCACTGACAAACTTGGACCCTCGATTGGAGTTCCCCCAGTGGCCAGCAGGGGGGGCTCTATAGTAAGACCTAAGCTGCCTCCACACTTAATGGGCTATGGTAGTATAGGTGGCATCCATGGACAGATGGATCATGGACCTATGCGGGGTGGTATGGGATATCGAGGGAGAGGAGCCCCACCTGTAGGACTTTGGCCTCGGCCAGGACGAGGACATGATCGGGGGGGTGGGACTGGAGGTGGACCCTGCTCTTGGGGTTACCCAGCAGGTAGGGGCGGGCCTCGGGATTACTATCCGGACTATTCTTACACTCACAATTATGCTCCTGAATAGACAATCAACATGATCAAAGGGGCAACACAAACACCATACTACGAGACTATTAAAGCTGGCTGAATGTATATATTTCCTTGTCATAAAAACATTGATTTCAATCAATAAATAAGGCTTCTGGTTTTCTACATTAATAAAAATTTATACAGGCAGAGCCGAGTGTCTTACTGTCCTGTGAACTGTACGTACACTATTTCCATGTGAGCTATTTGAGACCCTGTCCAAACCACTATATTTATATTTGCCTACAAATGTTTATGGCCTTCCAGCTTCTCGGAGTTTATCATGTTATTTCTGTTCGTCCGGTTTTGAAACGGTTTGTGAACAAGGGGAAAGGCTGATATTTTTTTAATGAAAAAAAAACAAAAAAACTAGTGAATGAAATTTCACTTTTGCTGTTGGTTTTCTTTTTTTATTTTACTTACTTGGTTGTCCAAAATTCTATTAAAATAAAACATTTCAAATCTTGTTTGTGTGACCAGTTTGGAGACGGTGTCAAACAAACTATTAAAAATATAAATCACAGCTGTCTTACTGTCATTTTGCTCTAACTTTAAATTTGATTCAGCCTCCTAAATGCTTCCGATGCAGTTTGAAGATAGATATGTTAACATTGTAAAAGCCAAATAGAATGCGTAATACCAAGAACATAACGTACCCTTAAAATCAAACGTGAGATTAAAAATAATTGGGTCAGACAGATATGTATGAAAAACTGTTGTGTTAATGCTCATCAAAACTTATTTTGTATATTAGACCCAGTCTAAAAATACCAAGGAAAAATGTCTGACTGAGGTACAGGGCGCTGAAGTAGAAATCAATGGCATCATCACATCAAGCTGTGTGTGTTTGGAGAGCTATTCGGAGGAAATGCAGCACTAAAAACCCTTTAGAGACTGCATGCTGAGTGCCTTTTGCCCCTCGACTCAACCGCCACTCAAGGATCATTATGAGTGTTGATGTCCTCTCAGAATGGGTTTCATTGTATTGTTTTATTAACTCGGTTAAGCACCTTGTCGCGAGAAACACTAGAGGGCGCCCTTTCCATTTAATTTGGAAAATAGGTTAACATTTATCTCCAGAGCCTCATTCCAGTTGTGTAATACACATGCCGCCATGGTAACTTTGGAAACTCTGAGAACATTTTTTCCCCCCCATTAAATCAATTGAAGATAAGACCCATAACAGAAACCATGAGCAAGATGAGCTATATTTTGAAGCACCCACACTACACAGATATGACACCTCAAATATCCGTCCAAAATACAGTTTTGGGAGAGCCTATTTAATAGCATAATGATGATTTATTCAATTACTGTACATTACTAAACTCAATAGATTTATCCAGGGAAATAAACTCTACTACAATTAAAGTTTTCAGAAAAAGTACATATACTAGGAAATTAAACCAGTTATATTAAATGTATTCTGTATTTGCATATAAATCAATGTTTGTTTTGTTTATTTTGGTAACTTCAGATCAAATATAAATATTTTTAAAGTTAAAATAAAATATCAATGATATTGATCTTGATTTTCTTGATCACTGTGTAAAAAATGAAATAAAAATATTACTGTTGCTTTGAATAGTTGTGTTTTTTTCCCCCCCTCGCCACTAGGGGCAGCGGAAACAACAAGCCGTGAACCGCGACGGTTGTCATGGGCAACGCGATAAGGCTAGCCTGTTAGCATACTGTTTGTTACTGTAACAAATGCAGCAGAAAATGAGAGTACATTTCTGGACACCAGATGAATGTGAGTCTAATATTCACTCTCCATTTAACTCTGTCTTCTTAGGGAAGTGTATGTCTCTATAGTAGCTAATTACATATCCACTATTTTTTAAGTTAAGTAGCTAAATTGGCTATTTGTTGTCTGGTGCTCATCAGTAGTGCAATAAGGTTTGTCAGAATCTTGTTTTGTTCACAATGTTGATGAGAATAGTATTAAAACTTAACATTCAAGTTGTGCCCCATTAGAAGAAAAAAAAACAATGATTAGTTGCAGAAAGTAGCCAAGAACATTTTATCATATAGCCTAAGGTTCTTTCCTCCCACGAATCCCAGATAATAACAGCCTGTTGTTCCTCTGCCCCGCCAATTTTGTCAAATGACTTTGCTGGTGGAGGAACAACCGATCTTAAAGCATCAATAAACTGCATCCAAGAGATACATCAGCAACAATTGTGGGTGTTTTTACTGTATACTCCTAGTTTGCATCGGTTGCGATGAAGCTGAAAATCTGCAAAGTTTTCATTTGAGGCAACATCAAAACTGATAGCAATTCACCCTCAGGGGAACATGAATGTGACAACCAAAACTCAAAGCTATTTATTAAAGCCACTGAGAGATTCAATAAAAAAACACATGTAAGGATAGTAAAGAAATACACAATATTATCAGAATTCTTTCCCTGGTGGGGATGAATGCCCTCTCCAAATTTTGTGCCAATCCATCCAATAGTTGTCAAGATATTTTTACTGAAAGCCATAAATGTGTACTCGCCGGATTGCAAAAGTCAGTAAGTGTCTTACTCTGACAATCCATCCAATAGCTGTTAAGATATTTCAGTCTTGAAAAAGTGCTGGACCCTCTGATATTGCCTCCCTAGAGCCATGTGGCTGTTACGGCAAAATAGAAATTGAACAATAAAGTACATTATTGAGCATCACAGACACTATAACACAGTGAAGATAGGGTACCTTTAATGTCTCTGACAGTAAAAGTCTTTTTCTAATGGAAATAATAAAGCAATAACTCATCAAACTTCATTGTGGTCTTATTAGTGGAAAAGTGTGACAGATAATAACAAGGGAAGCACCTCATGATACAATAAAACTGGTGGGAGAAACGACACGAGGAAGACTTAAAAGATGTTGTAGGAGAGTGTTCACGATCACAGTATAAAACTTAAAATGCTTTGAGTCATTGTGCATGTCAGATCTTATAATATGCTGCTAAATTCTACTCACTGCAGCACATAACAACCCCAGAGACCCAGTGAGCCAGGAACCAGCCTGCTGCAACAAGCTGCATGGAATGATGTTACAGTGCATAGGCTCTGTTTGTTTGCAATGAAATGTGATAGATCTTTACTTTTGATTAATGACATGTTCATGTGCAACACACCCCACAGTAACTGGACCAGGACCAGAATCCTGTTGGGCATCCAGCTGCTTGAAAACACAGACGATGGCCTGCGTACACATACAGTGCAGAGGTATGATGAACAGCCTGTTGTCTGGTGTGCAGCAGTCCACATTTATTTTACTCTTTTTTTGGGGGGAAGCGACCAGCTTACCTCCTAAAAAAGACCTGCAGTATGTATAGTTGGTTTGCGGACTGTTCTGAAATGAATACTATGTGGGTATCTTGAGCACATATTTCAGGTAATATGTCCAATTAGAATAAAACAAGAGTTCTAGTGGGCTTCGTGACATGGGGCCTCCACTCAGCTCATGCAGGTGGGCGTCTGAAAGGTGCGTATGTATCTGCCACAGCTGGATGCCTCCGCTCCTGCCTGATGACTGTTTTGACAGTTCAGTAATAGCCCCTGTTGACAGTCGAGGCAGGCCTCCACTGGTGGAAGCAATTCAACTTGAGCTATTCAGAGTAAAACTCCTCATTTCAGGGTAATTAGATTCTTGAATAAGATGATTTAGAATCCCTCTGTGATCAACGAAACCAGGGGAAACAATTAATCGGGAAAGGGAGGCGCATGCTTTAATTGGAGCTTGATGAGTGTTGTGCTTTGGAGAAGGGTATCTTTCACAGCATCAAGGAGTCCTTCTTTTACATCTCGGTAATTTGTTAGGGCGGTTCAGGATAATTTTCTCATACGCTGAGCCATACATAGTTGCACCTTGCAGGGTGGCACTAAAAAAAAACTTGGAGAAAAGCGTCTGCGAAGTGAATTGTAACTAAAAAACAGATTATGATTATTTTAAAGTGTTATATTCGGATTTTGTGATAGAATTTGATCATGCTGCAGGTTTATGCATATTCTTCACAGGTTTCCTTAATATTTTACAATACCAGTTTTTCCTTTCTGATACCAATTCATATACCTAGATTTGAGTTTCTCAGAGTTTGACCAATACTCAGTACCCCTCCCATACCAGTGCGATTAAAATAGTTTATAAAAACATAGATTGCTGACTTTATGTTTGCTTTGACTAACATTACAACCTTAACTTGCGCCACATTGTTGTTATTTGTTATTGTCACATCATATTTAACCTGAAACCAGTCATTTAAAACTTAACTGGTTATGGTTTCGGAAGTATTAATTCTTATACTGAGTATCAGATCAACTCTGTAAGTTTCAAATATGTGTGGTAAATTTGATTTGTAGCTAAAGGATCATTTATGGTGTTCTATTCATACAAGTATTTCAAAATGTTCTGCAGAGCCCTCACATTATCTGTAAAGTACTTTCTGTCACAAGGTTAAAATAGAATGCTGGATACCAAATGGCATCAGGATACAAACTTCCCTCACTCTCAGTTTGACACGCTGCCTACACCCAGGTTGATTCCCTAAATCAGCAGAGTGCTTACATAACCAGGGTCACCTGTGGACCCTCCGTGAAATAGAAAGCCCTTAATGAAACGCTCACATCATGTCCTCAATGTTTCAACTCGTCTGCTAATCATATCAGAAACTATAAATCCCAACCTAGCTGTGTGTTGTGTCAGAGAGCTGAACCAGATTAGAGGGACTTAAAAACAGTGAAATTGAGAAAGCACCTGTTTTATATCCTTGTAGTAATCTCCTAAAACCTAAACCCCAACCCATCACACCATGTAATGTCTGTAGTACAGTCTCTGAAAAACAACAAGTCCTGACCGACTCTAATACAAGATGTTACATCACATCTACTTTATGTAATCTTTGTTCAGGAATTTGAATGTTGCTCAGCAATGTGAAAACATTCAAAACTTTGCTTAATATAACGAGGCAGTAGTAGCGTGATTAAACAGAGTGCTGCATCACTATGCCGCGCTCTCTCAGTCTAACGGATTTTTGCCTAATCCCTGAGAGTTTAATGGTGATGAAACTCAAAGAGCTAGTCTGTCCTGGTTACATGCACAGCTGTCCACGCGATTTTAGATTTCCACCTTTTTTGTCTCTGAATAAACATTAAAGTTGCACAACAATAACAGTCCCTTCAGCTTGGAAGATGTCATGTTTTAATGAAGCATTTAAAAATGATCAAACAGCCATCCTCTAGCTCTTCTTTGTTGGACGCCATGGTACTAACAACTTGTCTTTGACATATGAAGGATTACATCAAATCCAATGAAATCTCACTGCAATCCTTAGCCCCACTCAATGCTTGCATTAAGATTAAACAGCAACTCAAAACATTACAGATTCATGGACTTAAGATATTGATTGATTTCTTTTGAGGCTTCTGTTTGTCTTATCAGGTTTTAAATATCCCTCCATCCCCGACCACCCATGTGATCTCTTTGGTCTTTCATGTCATCGACTTCATGTCCTCATCCCACACACTCATGTTCTTCAACATTGACTTTCATTCACTGTGTAATTCTGTTATTCAAAGCATGTTACACTCAATTAAAATAAGGAAAAAACCAAGCTAAACAAGCAAAGTAACGCTCCCCTCGGGGGTTGCGTCAGAGCTGCTTTAAGTATTTGTCGCTTCAGTTTAAATTTTGTGGTTTTGTTTGTTCCACATTGTTCAAAGTGCTCTGCTGTGTTTGATCAAAGCGATGTGTCTTTGAAGAGCTGTGCAATTGCAGTTTGTTTTTGGTTTGTTGACTCTCCTGATTTCTGTACTTCACTATTTGCCAGATAAGCGGCACGCAGATGGAGAATCAGTGTATTTCCACTGCTAGATTAATGCAACAGGTTTATGTCAGATATGTATATGAATGATGGATTGCTGCAGGATACATTTCTGTTTTTGCTAGATAAGAAGTTAAAATTATTGTTTGAAGTTACGGCTCCAGGTTGAAAAATAATATGCTTTTCTTCTCTTCAAAAACAAAACTATATCATAAGAGCAGGCATTTAATCTTAAAGGAGTTTTGTAGAAAAATTAAAGGATCAGAAGTTGATGATTTAGATGGTTAAAATTGAAATGGTTAAGCGTTGTCAATCTCACTAGTTGGCACCAGAATTAGTGCCTGTGTCCACTAAGGCCGTTTTCTTTTCTTTTTTTGCACTGGCAGCACTCATTTTAAGTTTAAAATCGATGCAGTTTGGGGATTTTAAGCGTTCAGCGACCTGAGCGCAACAATGCCCTTGGCGTCAGCAGGTCTTTGTCGCTGCACTCTCAGTGCTTTAAGTTGAAAAAAAGCTTTTGTAACAGTGCTGAACCCGTCAATGTCACTTCACCCTCACCTACCAATCAAAGTCATGAAGGGGTGGGACTTCTGATATCAGCTTTGTAAGCAATCGCTGAAAAGAAACTAATCTGACCTTGAGGGTGCAATTTCTAGGTCTAGAGCAGCTGCTCGTAATGCCAGGACAGGATTCATTTACCTTTTTTTTTTTGGGTGACATTTCCTTGATTACAGGAAAATATTTAGCATAGAGAGCAATTAAATCGTCACAACTGTCACTACCAAGGGAAGCAGGAGTTACATTTAGTAACCCAACAGTGAGCGCTGGTGAGAAGTGCTGTGAAACTGAGGTTATGGGCACTGCTAGCGCAAAAAGTCAGCCATGAATGTATCTCCTGTTAACCAGCCTGCTATCCCTGTTCACTCGACCAGCAGTGATTTACCACATCCAGCACATGGATGTGGACGTTAGCTGCAAGGAGGGCTAAAGGCGGGTGGTGCTAATTTTAAAGCTCCTTTGACGAGTTTTGAGATGCTAATGAATCAGACTTGAATTAAAACTGATGACTCTCGCCACACATTTAGAATAGCCTTCAAATGACTTGAAGAATGTGATGAACTCTTTCAAACAGCAATTAAATAGGCTTCACGTAAATTGTGCTTAATCTTGACTGTTTTCTATTTGTTTTCTTATTTTTAGATAAGTCAATTAGTCAGAAATTCAATTTTGGTTAAAACCACAGGGGTATAGTCACCAGGAACATTCACAGTGGTTGGAGTGAGTTTTAGGTACTTTATGCTTAGTATTATACGAGATATAATGGCTGTACAGTTTATTTAAAGTTAGCTTAATGACATGCAAGGTTCTCTAACGGACAAAATGTGGAGTGAGTCTACTAAGATACACACATTGAACTTACTCTTTTCAGTCAAGGGGAGCCATAAACTCACAGTGTTGTCCTGGAGCTTTCTGTCCTTGTAAAACACTTGCTGTGAAATATGAGCTATATTCATTTACTGATCCCTCGAGAAATATCCCCCTCCCCCATCAGTTCTGTACCTGAGTACACGGATACCTTTTAAGGCTGTTAATAGCTCTTCTGTGATTTTGCAAAATCACAGAGGAGGATAAAATAATGTTAAAACTTTCATTTTGACTTTTGGGTCAGACGACAGCGAAAAGCAAGCATAGAAGAGGAGGTATCACTTTACTTTGTTTTTGTTCCTGATCCTGAGGCATTTAAACTTCATCTTGCAGAGAGAAGAGCTACATGATGTTCTTTTTTCATTTACAGCATTTACACTCACTTCTGATTGTGTCTGATGCTATTTGCTGAGTAAGGATTTTTGCTTTCTCCAGAGGTCATCTGTTTCTGATACAAAAAAATAACTTTTGCAACATCAACTTTCAAGTGTCCACTGTGTTCCTTCCTCACTTAACATCGGCTCCATAAATGCTACGTGCTTGTTAGTTTGAATTTTGGACTGGTCTCTTGCAGAGGGGCTGAAGACAGAAGTCAGGGTGCTGGGATCATAAGTTGCGATGGGGATAACTGGAGGTTTTGGCTGTTTGCAGCAGCTACAGCGACAAGGAGTCAGGTAGAGGTAGACAAGGATGGAGATCATGGTCACCACACAGCCTAGCAACGTTGTGTAACCAGTGTTAAAGGACTCAGCTGCAGGCAGAAGCACTGTCACATTCACCTCCCGGGTTGCATTCAGTGCCTGTTTAATATCCACGGCTGTGCACACGTACAAGCCTGAGTCATTGACCTTGGCTGCTTGAATCTCCAAGGTACCATTTGGAAATAGGCTAATTAGTGTGTCATTAATGCTGTCCTCGGTGATGTACCCCTTGCTGGGGGAGAGCCATGTAAATGAGAGATCTGTGCTGCTCAGGGATGTTTGGCAGTCTAGACGCACTCTTCGTCCCTCTGAAACCAAGACGTTGGAGAGTAGCACGGTCAACGGCTGCGAGACAGCTTTTTCCATTGAGCAATTTTGGAAGAAGCGTGTATATCGGAGGAATCGAATGGACCCTCGTTGGTCCCCAAGGATGGTGCAAGTGTGCTCATCCGTGAAGTCCTTCAGAGACTCATACCCTCTCAGATCCCAATGCCAGAAGACACTGTACATTGAGCAGTCGCAGATCAGCGAGTTGTTATGGAGGTATAGCCCGCGCTGCACCAACCTGGGCAAAGCTTTTACGTCCTCCCACGGCAGACGCGACATCCGGTTGGATGAGAGGTCTAGCATGGTAAGGAAAGGATGACTGTGGTCTTGGATGGAGAAGAACGGGAAGTGTGTGATCTGGTTGAGGCTGAAGTAGGCCTTCTTTAAGCTGCTCAGACCAATCAGTGTGCTGGACTCCACCTGTGCAATCTTGTTATTGTAAAGAAGGAGCTCCTCCAGCCTCCACAGCCCCTGAAAGTAGTGTTGCTCCACCACCTGCAGCTTGTTCGAAGACAAGTCAAGGTGCCTCAGGCCAGAAGCATTGTGAAACACCCCGATGCCCATGGAGCTGAGCTGGTTGTGGGCCATCCGGAGGTTTTCCAGCCTGGGCATCCGTTTAAAGCTGCCCGGACCCAACCAGGACAAATGGTTGTGGCTGAGGTCAAGGGTCGTTGAGAAGGAGGGCACTGACAGAGGTAGCTTGGAGAGACCACTGGAGCTACAGATAACTGCATCAGATACACAGAGGCAAATAGATGGGCAGGTCTCCTCCGAGCCAGGGAGGAGCAGCAACAGGAGAAGGCCTGGATACAGTCCAGGGGTCATGTTTCTGGAAGACGGATCCTTCAAGGTTTCTAATCCCTTAGGCACTCCCTGGTCAGATAAGAATCAAATGAGAAACAGCGTGATGTATTAAAACCTTTCTCTTTCCACCCACCAGCTGCTTTGAGCAGTTCAACAGACAAATAATGTGACTCCAAGGTTAATGCCGTACAGGAACTCCCAGTATCCATGGCATGTAATGAAAAATGGTTCAAACGGAAAGGCGACAAATCTCTTTAGCCCCAGTAAAATGTTTTCATCTGTTCAATGACTTCAGACTATTTGGAGATGTTTCCTCTGAACACAAATAATACACATTTTTTGTGTATTATTTTTAACTTCTAATGATACACTTCTTTATCGTTTACATTTTAATGTTGATAAATTAAACAAAAAAGTGGAAAAAATAGGAAATAATGTCCCCACACCAAAAAGCCCATATTGGGATCGACCTATTTGGATTTCTTTTGTCAAACAGTCCAAAACTGAAAGATATTCACTTCCTATTAGAGTAGATAAATAAAGGTCTTTTTTCCTAGAAATTGGTTCTAATGTGTTATTTTCATTATGGAAGGTTGCTGTCAATCAATTAATCCATTAACTATTGAAGCTCAAATCATTGCCCACCAAGAAGTCTTTTAACAATTTTAGAGTTGTGTTTAAAAATCATACTCACAAAAGGAGATACTTTACCTTCAAAAAGTAGGTTCTTCTGCTGTAGTTTATCATCACCAAATATCAGTTATAATCGAATTCCTGCTGCTGACTTGTAGGTCTGTATGAATTTGAAGACAAAAAGGGGAAAAGTTCACACCACTTCCAGACAAGTGAACGATTTAGCTCACTTAGTTAATCCCATTCTCCCCTCCAAAAAGAGGGGGAAAAAAATACTTCTCCAAAGTGCTTAGCGGCAACATGAGGCTCTAACTTTCCTGAGCTTTTTCCTTTTTCGTAGTTGTACCCCCATCAGTGAAAACCCACAACATTGCCGTCTAATCCTTATCTCCTCCTCAGATCCTCCTCCCCAGGCGCTCAAGGAACAATGCTTTAGCCTTTTCTCTCCAGCCAAGTTTAAGGTCCCCCTACTGGCTTTTTCCTCGCCCCAAATGAGTGTGCTGCTCAACAAACATCCTGCAGTGCTTTTGCAGTGTATAGCAAACAGCACAGAGCTTACTTAATCTCCCACAATCCCCTCCTCCTCCTCTGTGTCATTTAGAGACCAGCCTCGTGTCTCCCTCTCTCATCATTAAGTAATGATGCTGGTGGCTGCCCCTTTCTACTCTCTAGCTTACTACCTGCCTCTCTTAGCAATATCGGTTTTCTCACAGTATTCGATTGATATTCTATTCCATAAATAATTTAATGGTTTTACTTACAGATTAGAAGAACCACAGGAGCTTGTCTCGTAAATATCAAATGTGTTATCAAGTTACCCTTTCATCAATAATCCGACTGAAACTTAGCTTTATACTTTTCTTTTAAATTTTTATTTCTGGATCCTGCTTGACTTATCTTTGTAAAAAAAAAAAAACTTTGTTCTAGTCAACAACAATTGGCAAATTCATTCTTGGTCTCTTTGTCTCTTGAAGTCTTTCTGACATTGTAGGTCTCATCTTAACTGTGAAGCCTCCTTACTTTTTTTCCTGTACGTTTGAGTGATGTTTCCTGCTTTATGCCCTGCACTCACACACACAAGACCTTTCTTTCTATGTGCCTTAATCGGCGCATCCCCTCCTTTTCTTGCCGAGCCCACGACATCCCTCCTTCCTTTCCCCTCAGCTTTGGGTTTGACTGGATATATGCTGTCCATGCTGCTTGGTCATGGTGGTCCTGACAGCTCTGATTTCTGTCACAGTGAATTAGCTTTGCCTCCCAGCAACCACCTCCTCCTCACTGCCCCCCCCATCAACCCCCCTTTTATAAGTGCTCGGGGCTTTGACTGACTCCCACTCACTCACTCACTCACTTTGCAGAGGCACCTAGCTGATTCCCGCGTGGATTCAAGCCCCCTGACTGGGATTCACGTCTGAAATGGTGGGCTGATGGGGACAGAAGAGGAGTTCTTGGAAAGTGAAGGGAATGGTGTGGAGTAAAATTTGTCCGAGATCAGTTAAAGCATATTTCTTCTTGGTGTTAAATGATATAAAGCAGGGTAAGAAAAACACATTTAAATGCATTTGTGCTAAAAAAAAAAAAAAAAAAAAGCCATCTCCATCTTTGGTATTGTGGCATCACACACAATCTTGTCCCAAGGCTAGTCATCAGCTTGGCTGGAACATGTAAGAAATATATACGCCCACACACTTACATCTGAGATATACTAGAAAAAGGATTTCAAACAGGCCATCCTTGTAGGTGTTATGTTTATGTGGGCTTATATCAGGGCTCAAATGGCCTCAGAGTAATTTTTCTGTTTTCCTGCAAATTGAACTTTGTCCCACTGTAAAGAGAACCTTTGTCCAAATAGCTTTTAAATATTCATGCTGCATTGATTGTTTGAAGGTATTGTGTAACACCCCTATTTGTTCAGTTGGCTGCTCCAATCATGTATGTTGTGTTTTTCTAAGTCTCTAATTGTAAACGGATCACATAAGACCTATAAACCAACGTGTTCATCTGCATAAGCTGGTAATGATTCATGGTTCGGTGAGCTCAGAAGAAAATGAGCATGTGAGGCATTTAAATAACCGTGTATGCGTGTGCCAGCGTGATGTCGGTAGCTGTGTTTGTTTTTAGCTACAGTGTAATTGTGCAGGGAACATGTTCTTTTTCTCAACTAGCCCCTTTTCTGCTGCAGTTGACACAACATGAACATTTCAGTGCTTTCATTATTTTCAGTATTGATCATTGTGTAAAGGATCCGTGTTTTCGAGCGCAATCATTAGTCATTGTCCATGGAGAGCTATTCAACCAGTGCATGAACAGGTAAACAGAACGGAGAGAAAGTGGTGTTTCTATTCAGATGTATTCACTTAACTTGTAAACCAATTCTTTGTGACTCTTTCTGCAAATTGCCTCTCATCTTACCGTATTAACTGAGTAATTTCAGCAAAATTAGGTTCTCTGGAATGATTACCCTGTCTTCCTTCTTTTCCCACTCTGTCGATTGAAAATCTTTCTGTTAATCCATATGTGTTCCTGCATGTTCCTGTCCGTATCTGTTGTCAGACCGGAATTTGTGCTACTCAGTCCTACTGCTCCGTACAATCCCTAATCTGATCAGTATCTTTCTATCAAGCTGCTTTGCAAATCCTGCCTTCCTCTCCCGCATATATTTGATTGGACTGAGTGTATGCAAATCAGCGCTGTCAAATCAGCCAGGTTCAGAGTGGACCTCAAAGCTTAAACCCTGACCCTGATGCATCCTGCCCTTAGCAGAAAGTGATTTTCCCTTCACCATCTGCTGCAGGAGAGAAGAAATAGAAAAAAAAAAGAAGCACACAACAGCACAGGGAAATGTCTGCTCTTATCTTGCCCTTGAGGAGCAGTGAAGCTCACTAAGAGTCAATAACATAAAGCTTTACTTTCTCAGATGTAGGAAGAAAATGTTCTTTGAACATTAAAGTGCTAGAATGTAAAAAAAAAATGCAGACATACTTTTCAAACTCTGTCTGCTTTTATTCTCATTTTAATGCTTAAAATTCACGGAAGGCTCAAGAAGTAGTCTTGAAATTATGTTGAGAGTATCCAGATTGGTTTAATACCAAGTCGCTGCCTTATTTGTTCCTTTTAATAACATACTCTACTGTGAGAAGAAAGAAAATGAAACAAACAATTTTCAAGCGCTATGTTAATTATTGAATAAACATCCGGCAGGAGACACAAGAGCTAAAGTCATACACGGAAACATCCACCATTTCCAAAAGCAACTCTGAAAACCCTGCAGCATGGAGTGCTTCTGTCTGTCAATTATGAACCCTTGAACCTGAACATATACACACCCTTGTTCAGTATTTATTCAGCCTTTCAACAGCTTTTTGTTAGGACGCCTGACATCCAGACTCTCAAATATGCATGAGCCAGTGCCTGCATGGAGATTCGGAGGATTGGGTTTTATTTCTTTCCTCCCTGGGTGAATTTGCTGTGGAGATGAGCTCTCTGTTGAAAAGGAGTTTCAGACTGTTTGCTCGTCACAAGGAGCAGAACAGCGGCTCCATACGCTCTGTATTCACAGGGTTTGCAGTGCATTATTTAAGAATGTCTTAATCAAACCCCCCCCCCCCCCCGAAAACTGGTGAGATGGTGTTTTTGTATGTTAATAATGTGAGCCACAGACACACACACACACACACACACACACACACACACACACAGTATGCTCCAAAACAATCCGACTCTGTCTTTTCCTGTAGGAGATTTCTGCATTCAATCCATCTGGTGGATATGTTGAGGTGTGAGCATGAAGAGACAGCACTCCATCTAGTGGTTACTCAGCTGGAATGATGAATTGTCTTTCACTATCTGCAGCTTTATCACCAATCCTTCTTAAAGAAATGTGGATAAATAGAAAAAAAAACTTACAGCTACACACAATTTTAAAAGATTGCACAGAAAAAACAACTAAATTATTGTGTAATGATTGCACAATCTTAAAGGAACAGTGTACCTGAGGCTATAATGTTATTAGATCTCTGAAATTCATTTTTGCATAATTGTCTCTGATATAAATTTACAAGCTGATTGGGATATTTACATTTGCATGAATAACCCAACATGTTACTGCACCCCAGTGAACAGATTTATGCCATGAAGGTACTATTTCTAAATCACTTCAAATCATACTGTTAGCATTTTTCTTGTATCAGTTGTCATATATACAGTATACATATGCAATGAGGCAGGAGCTGCAGATTTACCCGCCTTACTCCAGTTTCTACTTACCAGTCTTTCAGCCAAGCCAAGCTAACCGCTCGCTGACTGTAGCTTTATATTAAACATACAAATATAAGAGATATCAATTATTCATCTTACTCTCAGCCAGATGTCGAATGTAATGTTTCCTTAAGTGCTAA